GCGACCTGGACAGACTGGAGAATTGGACAGAGATAAAACTGATGAGGTTCAACAAAAGCTAGTGTTGAGTCCTGCTCGTGGGGAGAAATAACCACATGCATCAGTATAGGTTAGGGGGTGGCCTGCTGGAAATGAGTTCTGCAGAGAAAGACCTGGATGTCCTGATGGACGACAAGTTGGCCGTGACCCATCAGTCTGCCCTTATGGCCACGAAGGCCAATGGTGTCCTGGGGTGCATTAAAAAGACCATGTCCAGCAGGCTGAGAAGGTCATCCTCCTCTACTCTACCCTGGGGAGATCACGTTTGGATTACTGCATCCAGTTCTGGGCTCCTCTGTTCAAAAAAGATAGGGATCTCCTATAAAGAGTCCAGTGGAGGGCGAAGAAGATGATAAAGGGTTTGGAGCATCTCCTGTATGAGGAAAGACTGAGTAACGTGGGTGGTGTGTTCAGTGAAGAGAGGACTGAGATTGATTGGATCTGATTGGTGTTTATACATATTTAAACTGCAGGAAGCAACTGGTTGAGGCCAGACTCTTTTTAGTGGTGCGTAGTGATAGGACAAGGAGCAATGACCAAAAGCTGGAACATAGGAAGTTCCATGCAAATATGTGGAAGAACTTTGTTACAGTGAGGATGACAGAGCACTGGAACAGGCTTCCCAGAGTTTGCAGAGTCTCGGAGATATTCAAGATTTGTCCGGATGCCTACTTGGGTGACCTACTGTAGGAAGCCCGCTTTAGCAAGTGGGTTGGAGTCTATGATCCCTAGAGGTTTCTTCTAAACTCTGCAATTCTGTGATGATAATATTTCATTTTCAAAAGACAGCTGTAAGATGTAAACACTGTTATGAAAACTTTCTACTACTTGGCACCAACCACAATCCTTCTTAAGATGTAGTTGTATTTGGGGGAAACTGAAATGTTAATTTATTTATACTTTTCCTTTGATAAGTCCTGCTGCTCTTCAGAATTTTAACTTTATTCTCTGGATATTTTTTGAATCCTAGACATTACATTAAAAGACTGTAAATAAAGTATACCATTAAACTTACAAAGGAGTTCAAAACATCCAAGACAGTCATTTCAAAATACTTCAACAGCTGCACACTGTCATGTCTATACACACTAATATCATAACCACTGCAGTACAATTCTTTAAATTTATGCTGGTATCCATTCCACCACGTTTGAAATGGCAAAGCAAACAGAACTGCAGAGTGAGTGTTGAGCAGAGACATACTTTTTTTTGGGCAGTGTCTACTGTAGTTGCCACTAGAGCACTGATGAGAACACATTCATGTAATTATAAATACTAACCAGCAGCACAAATACCCTTAGATGCTGTGACTAACATATAAAATGGTTATATTTTGTGCTAAGATGAGAGTGGCTTAAGGTATGCTACCCTAAGCAAGTAACAAGTGCAGGGTACTGCACTTGGATCAGAGCAATCCCAGATATTTATACAGACTGGGGGAAGACCTCCTTGAGAGCAGCCCTGCGGAGAAGGACTTGGGGGTCCTGGTGGACAAGGAGCTGGACATGAGCCAGCAGTGTGACCTTGCAGCCCTGAAGGCCAACTGTGTTCTGGGCTGCATTAAAAAAGGGGTGGCCAGCAGGGAGAGGAAGGTGATTGTCCCCCTCTACTCAGCTTTGTGAGGCCCCATCTGCAGCACTGCGTCCAGGACTGGGGCCCCCAGTACAGGAAGGATGTGGAGCTCTTGGAGTGTGTCCAGAGGAGGGCCACTAAGATGATCAGAGGGCTGGAGCACCTCTCCTATGAGGAAAGGTTGAGGGAACTGGGCTTGTTTAGCTTGGAGAAGAGAAGGATCAAGGGAGACCTCATTGTGGCCTTCCAGTACTTGAAAGGAGCTTATAAACAGGAGGGGGAACGGCTGTTTACATGGGTGGATAGTGATAGGACAAGGGGGAATGGTCTTAAGCTGAGACAGGGGAGGTTTAGGTTAGATATTAGGAGGAAGATTTCCACTCAGAGGGTGGTGATGCAGTGGAACAGGTTGCCCAAAGAGGTTGTGGATGCCCCATCCCTGGAGGCATTCAAGGCCAGGCTGGATGTGGCTCTGGGCAGCCTGGTCTGGTGGTTGGCAGCCTGAATGTAGCAGGGGGTTAAAACTAGATGATCACTGTGGTCCTTTTCAACCCAGGCCATTCTATGATTCTCAACAAAGGAAATCTTATACACATAAGGGAGGGGAAAAAGCATGTGTACAAAGGACTGAGCGCAAACACTCAGATGAGGATAAGGTATACAGTAACACTGGAGGACACTAATACCAAACTATTTTGATCACTTTATAATAAGAATTTTAAAAATATATAACAATTCTGTAACAGCTTGTTGTTTTGTGAAAGTACTCAGCATAGATAAGTACCATGCATATGCAAGTTAGAAAAAACAGGTCAGGGCCATGCCTACCTGACAATAAACATGGCTGACCCTTCTGCAATTGAAGAGATGCCTGAGACTGTTCCCAGTACAATGGACACCCTCTTCAGCCATGTACACACAGGATAAATAACATTCTCTGTGTAGATATTTTATCTTCTATTAATGAAGCTGGCTAAAACAGTCTAAATCCAACCTTTATTTAGTACTTCAGAATTACAAGGATTTATAAAGCAATCTTTATTGGTTTTATCTGAGAGCACACTATTACTGTGCTATAGCACTCCCTGTGCAGCACTCTGTGTAAATTAAAAAAAAAAGAAAAAAAAAAAAAGAATGTTGATTCTTATGAGTTCTTATGAGGTATCTCATGAGAAATAGATTATGATTCAAGAGAGCATTACTTCTGTCACTCCCTGCTTGGTTGGTATGTCTTACTTGACAGCAGGATTTTAAACCAGCAGAACTGTAAGCACTGCTATTTTACAGCATACTTTGTGTAAATAGGAAAAAAGATTAATACAATGAAAAGAAAGAAATTGTATACATTTTTTGCAGGGAGGTTTTCCTTTTTTAACACAGAATTCAACTGTAAAGAGAGCATAAGTCCTCAAAAAATGCTGTCTCATAAATTTCATCTGCTTTAGTATAGGAACAATTAGAATGCTATAAACTCTTGGGGTGTTCAGCATGTCAAGTTCACGGTTTTAAAATAATGGTTTAAAATTTATTTTTGATATTTGACATATTTTATGTACTTACTAAGATGATTTGTTATTTTTCACTCCTGATCTGTTCAAAGGGAGAGAAATTAATGTTTACTGACAATTTTTAAATAGTGCACTGCTCAGCACTACACATGTAAATTAACAGCCCTAATTAATACTCAGCAAGATGAATATGAGTGGAACAGGTATCTGAAGGATTCAGTGGCTCTTTTAAGTGCTTAGTATGGGGGTAAGAGGGAGCTGAAATAAAACTTAAGTATAAATACTATGTAGAAAGCCCTGCATTTTTATAGTTTGTTATTGCTCTTTCTCCACGTTATCAACTTACTAAGATCTGTAACACTGACAGAATTCCAGGTTCCTGTCTGGAAAATGCAGTGCAACTCAGTCTTTTCATAAATAACTGAACTTCATTTTCTGTGAATACTCAGTCAATCATTTTCAGACAATCAAAAAGATGTATGTGACATTCTGAGACGTTTAATTCACAAAAATGGCATTTATCAATACTATATATTGAGACAGATTGTTATAAAATGAAAAAGCGACACGGAGACTTTAAAGCTTTGAATTCTTTAGAAGTGAGTGAAAAAAAAAAAGCAGCATGAAAAGAAAAAAGCACAAAAAGAAACAGCATGGTACCAGCAGGAAGTGGTGAAATTGCACTGATTCCTGGAGGCAATCCCAAAGTGGAAGATTCCGTCTCTGCAAGCAGTGATCTTTGATTGCTATCCACTCACAACCACATCAATCCGTTAAGATTAAGAACATTTTCGGTTAAAAGACTCAAACTTCTTGGGATTTATTCCAAAGCTGTATTTTTTTAGGCAAAGAAGTTCAAGAATTATAATTTTCCTTTTTGAAGAGAGAAAAAAAAAAATTGCTGTGTTGTACTTCTAATTCTGGCAAATACAATTACTGCAAATTCTGGAAGAGAAACCGCTGTTTTTACTGTATTTTATAGTCTCTAAATTTCTGCATGTGATTTAAAAAAGACTTTTTTTCAAAACATACATGCAATACTGAGCACACTTATAATCACAGCCTCTTTATAATCAAAATGCATCTTCATATAACTCATAATTACGTTACACAGCATGTAGTGCATCCCTAGCTTCAGTTTGCACTTACAGAGTCACAGAATGGCTTGGGTTCAAAGGGACCTCAGAGACCATCTAGTTCCACCCCCTGTTAATTATGTATAATTATGTGTAATCATAGAATCCTTAGAGTTGGAAGGCACCAATTTTTCAATAAACAAGCTAGTTAAAAGTACTGATTCACTTATATCTCTGTAAGTAGAAAGCACAGCATGTCAGACTTGTTAATCAAACCTTATTTTTTTTTGGAACTGGGTAAAATCCCATTGCATTACAGCTGTGACAAACCCTTAACTCAGTACTAGCAAGGCCCAGCTTTCTCCTCTGAGCGCACAGAATGCAGCAGTTGAAATGCAAGGCTCAGCTCCACGTCGGTACCACCGAGCAGCATCTCCCAGCGGCACCATTTGGAATCTGACGGGAATTTGACGGACCGCAGCAACCGCACGGCGCAAACTCCGGCACCGCACTGCTGCCCCGCACTGCCGCCCCGACCTCACAGCGCCCCGCCCGCGGGAGGCGGGACCGACCTCAACGCTCTTCCGAGCATGCGCACCCGTCCGCGCATGCGCCCCGCGGCGGCTCCCTTCATTCTAAGGATGGACTGAAGCTCTCGCGGGTGGAGTGCTGGCAGCTGTTTTTCTTTCCTCGCAGCCCGACCGCTCGGCTTCGGGATGTGGAGGCCGTCAGCACTGCTGTCCCTCTGCGCCCGGTGAAGAGCCATTCCCCCGTTCGCGCTCCCCTCCGAACGGCGCGTACCCACCTGCAGCCAACACCAGCGGCGCTCCGACCAGTCTGGCCCACCCCCGCGCAGCAGCGACGCCAGCAGATTGGCTTCTTCCGGCGTCACTCTCCCGGCTCTTGTACTCGGAGTGGCTTCGCGGGCTGTCAGTCCTCATGAAAGCCCGCCCATCCCGCCGTGCGGGTGCGTCTCTGACGACACCGCGGGCGCAGCTCAGCCGCAAGGCGCCGCCTTTCCTCTGATAGGCCGACACCTAGCGCATTCCGCTGTCACTCAGGCTCCGCCCTGACAGCGGATTGCCTGTCGCCGCTCCACAGCCTGTCCTGCCCTCCTTCCCGCCCACCGGGTGGGCGGGCGCGGTTGTCCCGGCTGCGGGACTATGGGCGGCGTGCGCTGGGCTTTTCCCTGCGCCGCCTGGCGACCCCGTCGCGAGGAGTGGCTGCTGGCGGCGCGGCTGGTGCAGCCTGAGGAGAAGGAGCGCATCGGCCGCTTTGTCTATGCTCGCGATGCTAAAGCCGCCTTGGTACACACACGGGGGGGCGGGGGCGCGGTGGAGGAGCTGAGCGGCTCCTTCGGGGCCGCGCTGTGCAGCGTAACGGCCGTCCGGGCTGCGAGCGCGTCCTGGTGGCGTTACGGCGTGACGTGAGGGAGGAGGCAGAACCGGCTGACCCGTGAGGTTACGTGTGAGTGAGTGAGGGCGGTGTGTAGGAGAATAAAGCTGTTTCATTCTGAGACTTCCGCGTGATCCGTTTAGGATTTAAATCCTACGCAGCAATGCGCTACTCAAGGCTTTTTGCTGACGTGTCTGTAAGCAGTGACCCCGCGCTTTCAGCTGGTCAGCATTTCTTGTAGTGCCTGAGTCACTGGATGACTGTTCATAAAAGGAAGCTTTGGGGAGTTTTGCTGCGTATGAAGGATAATACAAAGAGTATTCATCAGTGCAGCGAAGTATCTGAAGTAAATAAGATAGAGAAGGACCGATTTTATGTCAGCCTTCAAGGCTTAGTCTGCTTTCTGCGGACCCTGCCAGGCTCTGTGCTGATAGTGATATGCATATTGCGTACCCAGCTCTGGTGAAAAGCTTTTGGTTTTTAGCTAAATTTACTTGGCGAGGGCTTTTGTAAAGGGGCAAACCTAAATGATCTGTCACAAAAGCTCGCTTTTGTTTGGCAATAATGAAAATGTACTTTTTTTATGCAGGTGATGTTTTAGCAGCTACAGTGATGTTACACATCACACAATAGTTCTGTCTGATTTCATTTTATTTTATAGGCCGGTCGCCTGCTGATGCGGAAACTAATTGCAGAAAAGCTGTTCATACCTTGGAATGAAATACACTTGCAAAGGACATCGAAAGGAAAACCTTTCCTGGCAAACAACATATTCAGTGTATGTTCAAATTACAACTTCAATGTCTCTCATCAAGGAGATTATGCAGTTCTTGCAGCTGAGCCTGGGCTTCAAGTTGGCATTGATATAATGAAGACTGATTTACCAGGTAATGCGTTACTGTGACCAAAGCAGATTCTGTAATGTTTAAGTGCTGAAGACGTCAAAGTTTCCCAAATAATCAATCTGTGTCCTAGCAATTTAGTGTTATCAGAAGTGTGTGCACATATTTTTTTTTTTTTTAAAAAAAAAAAAAAAAAACAAAACTATTACACACTCTTTACTGTTTGCGTAAGGTTTCCTGTTGCACCAAATAGGAATATATTTAGAAACCAGAACCCTGGAAGAATAAGGTCATGAATCCTGTTGTGATGTTGACAGGATTGGCACCTGCAGATATTTTAATTGCAGGTTTGCTAACCATTGGGGAGGTAGAAACAAGGACAGCTTTCAGTGTTGGGGAGCGGGATCCAATTCTCTCAGACCTTAACAGCTTGTAGCTTTGAATGTTTTTTCCCATTCATGTAAATATGGACATTGTATGCATCAGCACTGGGCCCAAGAATGCAACAAACTGGCATGTTTGCTATGTCTGTACAGTAATCTTCAGTGAGAGGGAATCATCAGAGTGTGTTAGAGGTATCCCTAGTATGGAGCTACATTCAAAAACATCTGCTATTGGTTTATTTACTTGGATGAAACTTTAAGCTAACATGACTCTTAGGAAACTAAAGGACCAAAAGCATAAATTGGAATGTATTTATTTAATACCAATTATAAATTGTTAGTAAAGGATATTTTTAAGTGCACTTTTATGAAGGTTGTTTTGTTCACAAATGCTCAGCGATGGAGAGAAGGAAGTATGCTGAGATTTAGGATATATTGATATTTTTCAGACTTTGAAAATCCTTGTCAAACAATTAACCAGTAACACAGCTGAGAAAATCTTTCTTTATAATCTTCAGTTTGTCCAGCACATCATGCTACAAAATATTTTAATATAGTATGAAAAAAAAAATTAAAACCCTAACTTCATATCTTTCTGAATGCAGTATGCTTTTTTGTTGATTATTGTCAGCATTAAATTTTTGGAATGGTACATTTTGTGAATATGCACAGAAACTTTACTACAGTTCAAAGCAAAAATATCTGACTCAATTCCCTGTGTTTGCAGACTAACTCGAAAAATGATGGCTATCAGGTAATGCTGTTGCAGGAGTAGAAAGGCTCCAGAACCATGCTGGAGTGTGTGTCCCCACTATAGCCTGAGGAGGACCCCACACCAGAGCATCTGGATATTCCTGAAAGAAACTGTGGGGTGTTGATAAGGCCACGTTAGTGCATATGCATCTCTGAAGGGACTGGAATAATGCAGAGCCAAATACTGTGTTGTGCTTGAGCATACTGCTTTTATTGTGGCTTTTCCAGGCAAAACAAAATAAAGTGATGAACAGCGCAGCAAATTGCAGATGCTGAGTGTAGCCATTAACAAGTCCTGAAATTTGATGTACAGCAGGAGCATGCCATGGAGCAAGTAGGCACATTTGAAAGCAAGTCAGTCAGTGTTGTAGCCAGAAACGGGAAGTAAAAGTTAAACATATGTTAAAACCGTTAATTCTGTCTAGCATTCTCCAATCAATTATGTTGTTACCTTGAGTCATTAGGCCCCAGATTGTGACTCAAAGACTGTGATGGTTGGCAGCTGTGCCCTCACCCACCTACTCGCCTCCACCTCCCTCTCCTACTGGGATAGGGAAGACACTCAGAAGGTCTTTGAATACTGCATTCATTTCATAACTTCTTCAGTATCGAGAGAGGCTCCTGCCAGCATTTCCTAGTATTGCTGATGGCAGTGGTTCTGAAGTCCTGCAGTAGAGCAAATGGTTCTGCATTGTATTGAACAGCTGCAGTCAGCAGTTGTGAGGATTTGGGAACATCAGCTGCTGTGACAAAACAGTAGAGATCTGATACAGTCTTCAGTGTTTTTACCTATAAAGAGAAAAATATTGGTTATTCTGGAGATGCTAGTAATTCCAAAGACTTCAGTGTTGAAATTAAATTGACATTTTTGTAATAAGGTCATGCTGAAAAATTATGTATCTGGATGGCCAGTCCAAAACAAGCTAGAAACATTTGAACAGGTTGCCCAAGGAGGTTGTGGATGCCCCATCCCTGCAGGCATTCAAAGCCAGGCTGGATGTGGCTCTGAGCAGCCTGGTCTGGTGGTTGGCGGCCCTGCACATAGCAGGGGGGTTGAAACTGGATGATCATTGTAGTCCTTTTCAACCCAGGCCATTCTGTGATTCTATGATTCCCATGAGATGCAGGCTGATGTGATTCCGAACATGCATACTTTCTAATGCTACTTTACCCATCACACTATTTTCACAGAGATCTAGGCATGTGTTAGCAGAAGATGGTGCTATTGGGAAAGTCATTGTATCCACAGCCTGAATTCATGATGACAAACTTTAACAGTGGAGTATGAAACACTTCATTCCAAGGTTGCTGCTTTCATTTCCAATTTCTGAAGTTCAGTAGTTAGCATACTCTTCAGGAGTAATTCAGCAGTCAACATCTTGTATGGAGCACATATGTTCTATCTTATGGTAATGAAAAGAAGGAACTTATGTGCTTGTCATTCTATGCAAGAAGTGACTGTCAGGAGTGTGTCAGTGCCTGGCCTTGTGTTTTCCACATTGTGCAACTTTACATAAACGCTTGTGAATTAAGTTGAAAAACATCATCCACCAGAATTTCATATAGGTTTTGTTTATGGCCATACAGTTTTCTTGCTGGAGTTATAATGCACATCTTTGGAAAAGATAATCTTATAGTAATGTGAATTTATTAGTAGTATGTGGTGGGGAAGCAAGCCAGTGAATAAGCAACATTAAGGATGTAAGAATTTGTAATTGTAGTCTCTGTATTATGAACTAATGCTAGTAGTTTTTCTCACCTAAAATACTTTCTGAGAAAGTTCGTGGTAATTCTGAGAAGACAAGATCTGTTTTTATGCCATGCTGTGAATATAGGATACCTTTGACTTCACTGGTGGTGTTTTATCCTACAGTTCCACTGGATGGTGCTGTTGTCCTGCGGTTATAAAGCACGTATTTCTGAGCATAACGACTTGCATAGATAGGCTATAATCTCTGGAACAGCAACAAGGACAAAGAGTTCCGTATGTACAAAGTACATTGCAGTATTTTTTTTTTATATGCTTGCTTAAGGACAGAACACTCCATCCTGTGATGCTGTCCTACAGAATCTGGAGGTCTCCAATGTTGTTTATGTTCAACCAGTGAACAAAATATGTATTTTAAATACACAAATGAATATCATGCAGTTGCAAGTTTTGAAAAATATGCCCAGTAACTGCGTGCTGGTATATACACTTAAAAATCAGTGCACGTAAACATCTTGTCTCCTCTTAATCTGTGCTATTTATTTCTGATTTATGATCAATGCTGAAGGTGCCTCTTTCCGTATTACTTTTTCTGCATTATTGAAATCTGAAAAGTGAAACTACTTAGAAGGGCTGCACAAAAAGCTATTGCAGATAGAGACAGTTCTACACAAGTTCCATGGGTTTGCAACGTTTTATCAGGGTTTGTACTTTGTTCAGATATTGAAATAGATAATGTAGTGATAGCTGAAGAGGAAGATTTCCTGTTTTGATATTGCAAATTGCAATTTCCTGAGGTGGTGAGTTTTTTTTATAATCCAGAAGGTTATTGTGGTAGGTTAAAACACCATTTAATTGACTTGCTGAAGAAGAAACACTAAGGTGAAAGACTGTTTTTCTTCAGATCATTTTAATATGAATGCTTAAATTTTTGGGAAAATGCGTACTGTGTTATAAATTTATTAGTGGAAGTAACTGGATGTCATTTGTACAGAGTGGTAACGCAGGTGAAGTTATTTTAACCCTTTCAATAAAGAAAGGACTCTGTCAGAAATGTTGCAACAAGTGTTAACTTGTTTTGGGCCATGTTTGGGTAAGTCACGTTTGGAGAAACTTCTGAGCTTTTCTAATGCTTTTCTAATTTTTGCTTTCCAAAGTTTGCAATAAGGATTTTTTGAAAGAAGTATGAAGACAGATTTGAGTGTTTTTGTCCATCTCGCAATACTTCGTTTTACTGTGAGTGAAGTTTTAACTGGTTTAGATTTTATTGTTGTTTTTTTTTTTTTTTTTTTTCCTTATAGCAATCAGCATCTAATCTTTTGCTAGAATAGGCAATTGCCAAATTATTATCTAGCGATGTGACTGTAAATATATAGTTGCACTCTTTAGAGATGAAGAAATTAAACAAGGAATTTGGTTAAATGCTTTTTTTTTTTTTAAAAGATTGATTAAGGATGTCAGAATTTATACATAAGTAAATACGTCAATTTTAGACTTACAACAGCACTGAAGTAACTAGCTCATCCTCATTGAACTAAAGTATCACAGTGGTCTTATCCCTTTTGATGAGTAAACAGGGAGGAATTTCTTTGTTCTTGGTCTATTTGAAAATGGGGAAAAACAGCCATTTTGAACATACATTTCAAACATAAAGAATGTTATGCAGCAATTTTATTTTTATTCTATTTTTATTCAAATTTCCAACACTGTTTTAACCTGGAATTACGTCATGTTTTGTAAAAACACTCCAGTAACTGATTAAGCACTCACATCTGATAAACTGTGAAGGGAATCTGTGACTGAATCTTCTCTTTAAGGGTAAATTGTTTCTTCTTAAAATTTTGCCAGTCCTTTATGAGGACTTTTTGTATGCCAACATAAAACCATTTTCATTAGAGTAGGAAATGGTATCGAAGTGTAGAACAGAGGCAGTAAGTTTCTGGAAGATAGATGTGTAGGACATGCTGTGGTTTTGCTATACTGCGATACATCCATCTTCTTCTTACATCTTTTGTATAACTTACTGGCTGGATAAGAGGCAGCTCCTACAGTGTCTGGTGTGGACCCGTGCATATGCTGATAAGAGGGAAGGGTTCTGCAGGACAGCTGACTGCTCTCTCTTCTCTGTGGGAAGACCAAACAGAAAAACGTGTTGGTTTTTAGCTGTCAAATAGGCCAGGCAATCTTATAACTCTTGATAG